CCTTGGGCAACCACTAATCACCACACCATGGAACCCATCATGTCCCAAAGCCAAAGGGCTTTTATGGACAGAACCCTTCAAGTGAGTGAGATAAAAAGGGCTATCTTCTCCAATAAATCTTTCAAATCCCTAGGCCCAGATGGCCTCGACCCTTTCTTCGATCAAAAGTACTGGGATATTGTAGGGGACTCTGTCACAGAATTTTGCCAAAAATGCTTCTCCACAAGCTCTATGGATAGCACTATGAACCAAACCCTTTTGTGCCTAATACCTAAATGCCCACAAGCTTCAATGCTGAAAAACTTCAGACCCGTTGGCCTCTACAACACCATCTACAAATCAGTCACAAAAATCATTGTGAACAGGATAAAACCTATCCTACCGCACATCATTGGACCAAGCCAAGCAAGCTTCCTAACTAACAGAAGAGCCTGTGAAAATGCCATCATTGTCCAGGAATAGATCAACCACTTCAGGAAATTGAAGGGCAAGAGTAGCAACATGATTCTAAAAGTAGACCTAGAGAAGGCCTTTGATAGCCTGGAATGGTCTTTTATTAGAGACACTCTGGATGCCTTCAACTTCCCCAAGGGTTTATCCAAGCTCATCATGTCATGCATTAGTACTTCCTCCATCTCCATTCTTGTCAATGGGGGTAAAACTTAATCTTTCAACCCCTCAAGAGGCATTAGACAAGGAGACCCTATGTCCCCCTATCTATTCATTATGTGCATGGAAAGACTTTCTAGATCCATTGACAAGGCAGTTGTGCAAAATCAATGGCACCCCATAAGCATAAGTAGGTCTAGACCAAAAATCTCACACATATTCTTTGCAGATGACCTCACTCTCTTTGCCAAAGAAAATATCAGGAACTGCAATACCATCTTCTCTATAATGCACAACTTCAATAACCAGTCAGGACAAAAAATAAATCTAACCAAATCTAGAGTCCTGTTTTGCTCAAACATTACCCAAGATACCTCCTAACATCTCACCAACCTTCTGTCCATCAAACACATAACCTCCTTTGAAAAATACCTAGAGTTCCCCATTTTCCATAAAAAGCAAGTAGCTTCAGACTTCCAATTCATCATTGACAACATGCAAACCAAACTGGCTGGCTGGAAAACCAAATGCCTTAACATGGCTGGGAGAACAGTCCTGGCCAAGACCACCCTGAGCAGCATCCCAAGGCATGTAATGCAATACATCAACCTTCCTATCAAAGTCACCAACCAGATTGATAGAATACAGAGAAATTTAATTTGGGGCACCACCCCTGACAGGAAAAAGCTTTATCTGATTAAGTGGGATGTAGTCGTCAACACCAAGACTGAGGTAGGGCTAGGGTATCAAAAATCTAGCATAAAAAACAAAGTTGCTCTCTCAAATCTGGCATGGAGAGCTTATAAGAATACCAATAGTCTTTGGGTTAGAGTCCTGATTCACAAGCACTGTAACATGACTAGACCAGCCCATGCTTTTAAACATCCAAAGAACCCTAGATCCCCAACTTGGAAGGGCATACTAAAGGGTTAGGAGATCTGTAGCAAATCGAGCAGATGGGTAGTTAATAGAGGGAATAGGGTAAATTTCTTAAATGACACTTGGATCCCTAACCAGCCAGCAATCAGGCAAATGATAGAAGGCACCTTAACCCAAAATGGCCTCCAAGTCAGGGTTGAATCAATTCACAATATGGGCACTTGGGATACCTCAACTTTGTCCATCACCATCCCCCAGGTGCCCTGAACCTCCTCAATTCTATGTTCATTCTCAGTACTACCACTAAGGAGGACAACCTAATATGAGACTTGACTGCCAATGACCAGCTCTCCAATAGCTCTGCTTACTCCTTCATGAGCAGGAATATAACTGACCTCCCTTCTGGGGAAGAAGCACCCTTCAAATGGATCTGGAAGCTTCAAACCCCCAACAAAATCAAGCACTTTCTATAGCTCTTAACCCATAAAAGACTCCCGACTAGGAGCTTTCTCCACTCTATTGGAATCAATTGTCCCCCTCAATGCCACTATTGTAGCAATGATCAGGAAGACATTGACCACATTTTCTTCCAATGTCCCAATGCTGCCCATTTCTGGAATGATATCTTATCAAAATCCTCAGGTCCTACCTCGTCCCAACCAGTCTTTGATAGCCACATGTGGCAATCATCTTGGCAAACTCTCAAAGTTATGAAGTACAACAGTTGCCTCTGTTGGGACAACCCTATCTCTTTATACCTTTGGCACATTTGGTTGACGAGAAACAACAATGTTTTCAATAACAAAAAAGAACGCATTAATGCAAACAACACTATATCAAAAGGAACAGAGTACCATGTGCTTACAAAAAACAATTCAACAATGGTAACACATCAGATTATGCTAAAATGGATACCCCCACCCAGAGGCTCCTTTAAACTGAACACTGATGGTGCAGCAAAAGGAAATCTAGGAATAGGAGGATCAGGGGGGATATTCAGAAACCACAATGGAGATTGGATATTGGGCTACATGGACAACATACCTCAAACAACAAACATAAGGGCAGAAATCCAGGCCCTTATCCGGGGTCTACAACTAGCAGAACTAAACAACCTAGTTCCGCTGGAAATAGACATCGATTCAACAGAAACAATAAATATGCTATTAAATGAAAATCTTATTTTTGACCCTCTAATTTGTGAATGCAGATCAATCATCCAAATGATGGGCAGCGTGGTGGTGAGGCACATCTACCTGGAGTAGAATAGAGTAGCTGATGTGCTAGCAAAGGAAGCAGCAAAAGAAAGTTTTTTGAACAAGTCTTTGTCTATATCAGTTCCTCCGATGTTTGCCAATGATGTATTTTGGACAGACATCCCAGGAACTGAACTTACTAGATCTTTTGTGAGTTGTAGCTTAAGTACAATTATGCAAAATATTGCAGCAATGGATTCCATAAGGTACCCCATTAACATCCCAAATGTAACCCCACCCGTTTAACTAGTACTAATATAATATCTCTTTTGACAAAAAAAAAGATAATGAGAGAAAAGTTTCTTACAATTTAATCTAAATTTTGTTCTTGATAGTAGGATTATTAATTTGGACATTAGTAATTCGGTTAGATCAATATTTATGTGATCGTCTTTATGAGATAAAAATTAGCTGATCTTATTAACTAAATTACATAGATAGATGATGCATATAGAGATATAATCATTGAACCGATTCATTGGATAATTCCTGATGGTTAGAATTACCATAAACCGTCAATAGGATATTCTCTTGAAGAATGTGATATAAAAGTTTCCTTTGACCTGAGATCGTCATAGTAATTAACAAGTTATTTATTGTGCTTTGATATTAGACACTTATGGCCTAGGGCGATAGTTGAAAGGATATTAGGTACGATTGAATATTTGTAAAATTAGTGATTGATCAAGATGGAATCTGTCAACTCTTGGTAATGAGTTTAAGCTCTATGTTGTCATGAATTATAAACGACCAAACTAAGACCTTGGCCAGGGCAATTGAATGAAAGAAGGAGTTTTTTAGGTCATTCAATGGTTAATTATATTTGACATGAACACATAATTGGTCGCTTGTTAGGATTTGACAGTTGAACCATATCCTAGGGTGACCCGGAACTATAAAGACAGACAGAAATACGATATTATTCTTCTACGGGTTCTTGAGAGTAAATTGTACACTTCATGTTATCCGATCGTTAAAGTAATTTGTTAGACGCCACCCTTGACTAGTATATTGATGTGATCAATTTTCTACTGATTTAATATTGAACATATAGAGTCACACACTAACGAGTGTTCTGATCTTTGCTAAAGGATTAATTAAATTATTTGATAATTAAATTAAAGAATTTAATTAGTCAACTAAATTAAATTATTAGTCCAAATGAAATATTATTATATTCCTTGCTATCACATGGAATAAAATTAATGTTGTGAACAAATTAAAGTTTTCTATTTGAAATAGAAAATTAAATTATATCTCTTGGTCGAAATATATATGTGATATATATAATATAAAATAAAATTAATTTATATAAATGTTATATATAAAAATTAATTTACCCTTACCAATTTGGAATTCTAGATGAAAGTCCACAAAAGGACCACGACGTACGCGTAATTCCCATTAGGGATGGGATATACATTATCATTGAAAAACCTTTGAGGTGTCTAATTTGGAATTGGACTTTCCAAGACTAATGGAAAGTCCATAAAATACCTTCGGCAGAGGGAAACGTGATTCAATTTTTCCATAAGTTTGTTTTTTAATTAAACTTTTAACCTAACTAAATCATTACATCAATCAAATAAAAAAAGAGTTTCTATGTGATATAAAGGGTGATAGAGAAAATTTATCTCATTAATTCTTGAGAAGAGAAAAACACTTTGTGAAAGTCAGAGTGCAATACAAAGCCAAGAGAGAAAATACTGTAGACATGTAATTTTTGACCCATACATTAAAATCACTTTTAATAGTCCTAGTATTTTTAGGATATTTATATGAGTTTATTTCTATAGAATTTTACTTTATTACTAGTTTTAATTCTATTTTTAAGGTACAAAAATTGAAAAATACAAAAAAAAAATCATTTTTTATTTTATTTAGTATTAGGTATTTTTAGAAAGACATATTACTTTCAACCTATTTTTATTCTAATATAATCCTTAAAAAATACCAAAAAATAGTTTCAACTTTCATTTTTAGCTTTTATTTTTAATATGAATAGTTTATCAATTTCAATTAAGAGTTTTATATTTTTGTAGGTATTTAAATTGGATTTTCAGCTTGCTTTTGGCCCAATTTTGTAAATTTCGGAGCCCAATTCAAATATGAGCCCAAAATTCAACAACCCAACCCAATACCCCTAATCCGCCGACCCGGTCAGCTTGACCCGCCCCACTCTTTTGTTTTAATCCTGGCCATCAATCAATTTTAATCCAATGTGCCACTGCGTCCAGTCGCCGGAAAACTCCCTTTCCGGTGACGCGCTTTGTGGTCCCTTCTCTCATGGTCCACTCCTCTCATTCTTTCCTTCTACGTCACCCAAATCACAACAAACTCCTCACTCACCACAATCTTCCATCATTGTTTTTCCTCTATTAATCAAATCCAAAATCTTTTTAGACGATTTTTGGAAAATTGGAGGCCGTAGGATTAAGATTCTTTGATCCTAGACCTCCACTTGTCTAGAATTTGTCTATATAGAAGAATTTCGGATTTTACTTTTAAGGTTTTTGTATTTTTCGGATTTTTAAAAAAAAAAAGAGAGAGAGGAGATAATTTCCGAATTCCTTGGAAAGGAAGAAAGAAGAAGCTTCTAGGATCCCATATATATATGGGGATTTTTCGGACAGAAGAGGGAGGGTGGGGAGAAATTTTTGGTTTGAGAATAAAACTAGGGTTCTTTCTTGGAGGTTTTCAGATTTTTTTTTCTTTGTTCTTTCTGATTTCGAACAAAAATTGAAAATAGATTTCTGTTTCTTCTATTCGGAGCTTAATGGTGATTTTCAAAAATGGAGATTTCTGAAGCTTGAAGCTGTGTCGAGGTGGCCTTCGAGTTCGAGCTCGCGGATCCAGAATCGATTGCCGTTGTTCCATCCATTTCTAGTTGAATTCGTCATTCGATCTTCTACTTGTACTTCTTAATGGATAGAAATATATTGGAAGATTTCGTTACAGGTATTCCTCTGTCCTTCTCGTTTTGTTTGCTGCCTTGGTGCTGATCTCAATGTGATAAGAGCCAAAGGTTGAGAAGAATTTAGTATTTGTAAAACCTGTCTAGTTGAAACGTGTGCGCTTTATGAGTTTATTCTTATTCAAGGCTATCTTTTGCAAGGTCAGACGCGATGTCGAATCCTTTTTGTGACTATTAGTTTACTCCTTTGATAATGTGCTTGAAGTTCTGAAATCTGAGCGAGCTAATGTCCACTGATTTCTCCGAATTCGCTGGCTCGTGCTTGATTATAGATGTTTCTGGTTATAAGTTTCTGTATGTCCTGTTGTGTGTTTGTTCGGGTCTTGTTTTGGCTGCTGTAAGTGAAGAAACTGGACCTCAAATTCAGAGTTGGCATATTGCTTGGATAGATGTTTTAAAACTGCTTATATATTCTATCAACTCTACCTTTGGTTATCCGTTTCATTAACCTTTTGCTATTAGATTAAGAAATAGTTCCATTGCTTGCTTCAAGTTAAAATTCTTTTTACCAGTACCTTTTCTATTCTTTTCCGTTTAAAAGGTGAGACAAATTCGTTCCCAAGATCTTATTTGCTGCTAGCTTCGGATAAGCTTAAAATGCATTCTAAAATTGTGTGGAGTTTAGGAGTGGACTGAAAATTAGTAGGTATTTGTTTTTGAGTGAAATTAATATATATAGAAGTTACATTAGGTGAAAGTAAATTGATTAGCTTATATAATTGATTTGTGATCTTATTTTTGGACTTGAATTACGACAGGATTACTGGTTAGATGTCATTTGGGAATTTTCTATTCTTAACAAATTAAGAGATAATATACATGAATTGGGATTAATATAGGGTTATGGTGCGTATCAATATTTTAATTCATTTTATCTTTCCTTTCCCCTCCTATAGTAATTCTTGGTGTTCTGTGTCTGCTCGTTCATTTGCTACAAATATTGTGTGTCTTTTGAATAGTTACTTTTCTGATGTTTCCCTTGTCTTATTTGTGTGGACAATTTGGATAAATTGTTTGAAATGGCTCACGGGGTTTGGGTTTAAATGGATTAAAAGAATTTGAGCATGAATTGAATCCTACTTTTATTTAGTTCTCTTTTATTTATTGCATTTTAACATATTATCGTTAGGAGCATGTTTAGCCCGACCACACCTGGGTAGGCATTCTTTAGGATTTGTTCATTCGAGGTGAGAGGTCGTCCCTTTTAGTTAGTTAATTCATCAGGGGAATGCCCCGTAGAGTTTGTGTGTGTGTATATATATATATATATATTTGTGTTCTTTTATCAGGGGTATGCCCTTAAGTGAATGTAATTGAAGGCCGTGGCGAACATCGTAGAAGAAGTAGCGTAGGATAATTTAGAACTTTAATTTTCTTTCATTTAGGTGGGGATGACCTCAAGCCTCTTTGTGTTTGTTTTCCTTTTCTGTGTTATTACCTCAATTGAATAATTTAAAAGCTGACTAGATCAAGTATGCAACCGTACTGGTTACGGGACTTGGGGAGTGCCTAACACCTTCTCCCCGAGTCAAATGAACACTCTTGCCCAAATCTCTAGTGTAGACTTAGTTTTAGAGTTCAAAGTGTTTTGAAAGGAAAATTATTATTTTTAGAAAAACAGTGACCTGGCACACCGAAATTAAATATCAGGTGGCGACTCTGAGTTAATCCTTTTGAATACAAATTTTTGTTACTTTCTAATTGAAAACCTTTGTTTGAGCTTTACTAATCTTTTTATTTATTTTAAGAGGGTTAAGTGAGGTTGTAAAAAAAATAGTGTGACAAATACAATTACAAGAAAAGTGTTTCTTGTTCTTCTAATTTGAAATGAAATTTTTGAGAAAAATTTCAGCACAAGTTTTTCGTTCAATTTGTTCGCGGGTTTCATTGATCAAAGAGTTGATAGCAAGGATCGGTATCGGTATGGATACGCATAGAGTCTTCGCACTATCGAAGAAATTTTGAAACGAGACTCTCTTCACCAAGTACGTCTTAGATCCGATCTTTGACATGTAAATAAATTTTAAACACGAAAAGATCTGTCTAGGATTGCTATTGTCTTGCGCAGCGTGTTACGAACACCTATATGCAATCTTTCAAGGGGACCGTAGAGAAATACTTCATGCATTCCTCAAACAGGTGCATTTTGTAAGGAAGTTGATATCTATGTTGCTTGGACTCGGGTGCTGCGGATATCCGATACGAGTATGAATTTAGAGGTCAGATCCTTCATGATCAAAATTATAAGATTCTGGGGTATGAATTCAAGCATGAGTGCAGGGACTCAATTTAAAATAATTTAAATATATAAAAATAGAGTTATAAAAGTATATCTAAATTATGAGACATTATGTAAAAAAAAATTCAATGTATTATGAAAAGAATAAAATATTAATCAAGAGGGAAAGGAGATAAAAGGAAAATGACTAACATAGAAACTTCTATACACAGTATTTTATTTTCTTTAATTTCATCCTAGCTTTTGTTTTGATTTCAAAAGTCCTTTTATCCGTCCCAAATTCTCCGTCGATATTTCTCAAAGTACCTAAAATTAGTTGACCATATTCGGTGTGAATTCCACAGCTACCCCATACCCATGTCGTGTTGATACTAGTACGGCATCAAAAGTGAAAGAGTGCGAATAACTTAGATTGATATTATCGAAACATCTTATCTTACCCCCTGTAGCCTAAACGTACGATTTATTGATCAACACCCTCCAATAATTTTGCAGGTTGTGGACTGTAGGTTGCCGCTGAATATCTTGAATAGGCTAGACTTGTCTCACATTATCAGAGGTGGATTTATGAATTGAATTTTATGGTTATTAGATTCTAGGATAAAGATCTCAAGTGCTAGTATATATTTAGTAAATTTTTAACATATATGCAGGATTTGTAAAAATTGCAGGGGACGCTCTATTTGGTCGCTCCCATTTAACTTATATCCATTTTTTTTAGAAGTTTTAACTTGTACCCACTTTTTAAACAACTTCAGCCCCTTTTCTCCTCATCCTTCTCCTCCTTCGTTTTCTTCTTCTTCTTCTTCTTCTTCTTTCTTCTGCTGTTGTTGGTGCTGCTATGAAACTTCAATTCATGGGATGATTGTCATAAGTATGTTTATCAGATTATTTAAAAATAAATTATAAATAATTACGTAAGTTAGTAGACAATAATTTGTGAATATTTCCACGTACGGAAAGTTTAAGGTGACACTTAGTGATTCTTTTCAAGATAATTCTATTCTTTTCACGTTTATTGTTTCCAAAATTTATGATTTAGATACTGTTGACAATCTGATTATTTATCTAGTATGTTAAAAAGCTTTTCAAAAACTTCAACTTATATAGTGTTGAAGTTTTTATAAATGAACTAAATAACTTTAGCATCTTCTGTTGAAGTTTTTGAAAAAGCTTTATGACAAAACTAATGAAGCCGGGACAAAAAACTTCAGCTTATTTAGTGCTGAAGTTTTTACAAATGAACTAAATAACTTCAGCATCTTCTGCTGAAGTTTTTGAAAATGCTTATCCAGGACAAAAAAACTTCAGCTTATTTAGTGCTAAAGTTTTTATAAATGAACTAAATAACTTCAGCATCTTCTACTAAAGTTTTTGAAAAAGCTTAGTGACAAAACTAATGAATCCAGGATAAAAAAAAAACTTCAGCAAATAGAGAACAAAACCTCAGCTACTATGCTTAAGTTCAGCAATTACAAACAAAAACTCCAGCACACTTGATTCAACACACTTACTACTTCAGGCCTGTCTACTAGTATGTTGAAGTTTTGCGTGATTGACTTTGCTACTTCAGCCCCGTATGCTAAATTTATGCGAAAAAGTGGGTACGCTTGCAATTTTTTTTACAAAGCGGCCACAAGTTAAAACGTGACCCAAAAAGCAGGTATAGATGCAAATGCCTCGCAAGATTTGGCCAAAGTTACTAGATTTTATCGAACCCGTCTATTTAAAGGGTCTTTACACAAATAGCCATTAGATTCACTGTTTGATTTTTTAACCAGTATACATAAATAATACACGATTATACACAGATTGTACATCTATATCATACGTACAACGGTTATTTTTTGATCTAGATGAAGCACATACATTATTTGTGTAATATATCTCTTATAGCCAAAAGTGAAAAGCTCCAATAATTTTTCAATAACATAAAAGAATTCCTAATCAAATGTGTTCGCATTCCAAAAGGTATGCAATTGTTTAAGTAAACCATCTATGCATGGATGGATTATTGTTCGTAAAAATTTTGATGGACAATATTTCGATACTATTAGCAGCCCCTTGCTTTTCAAATTTATATTCTATCGACCCTTCAAAATTTCCTCTAAATACTATTCAATTGATCTCTTTTCTCTAGTTACAAACTGCTGTCCAACTAACCCCATTTTTGCTAAATGTCTGGCATGTTGGCCAGGTGACCATGGATTTTGAAAATGGTTTTTCAGAAAATTGGTTTTCCTCTATAAAGATTTCTTGAAAAAAAAGCAAACATATGTGTAATACTTAATTTATAGTGAGAGCTCAAATTTTAGGAGAGATAAAACATTAGATGATTTCTTCTCATCTATTTTAATTTTGGATAGAGTTACCTAACATGTACTAGTGGTATAATTAATATTATCTGTATTTAAAGGTTTTACACACATTTAACAAATATATGTAATAGCCAAGAGAATTCATAAATTATCGTTTATTTCTTTCCTAAACGCCCCACTTCATAAATTCACCCACTAATTGGAGCAATAAGATTGATTTTTGTAAAAGAGTGACTTCAATTTTTTTTATATATCGCATATATTACAACATATTCAATTTATCAAAATCGACAAATAATATAGACAGAAGATACTAACAAATTCCTACCTCTTACCTCTATAAACCAGTGTACCAAAGTATATTTAATAGTAGTTCTGAGGAGATACTAAAGAAAAAGAAAAAGATCGATGGGAATTTAAACTGTTCTTTTGTGATTAGGTTGTCTCATAGCTTTCATTAATGAACTACATGATACACTATCATATGATGGAGAAGACGAAATAATATAATATTGTTACAAAATAATAAATTGTGGGCTCTTTTATAAAATACAAAAATTTGGAGCAATTTTTAAAAGATATAAAGTGATATTTTGGACCAAACCAGCTGTTGAGCTGGTTTTGGGAGTTGGAATATTTCTAAAATGTAGGCAAAATCTATGGCCAAACATATGTTTGCCAAATAAAATTCAAATTCATTTTGGCAAAATCTATGGCTAAACGGGTCCTCAATAATTTTTGTTACATCTCTGAGGGTACGAAAACTTAATTAATGAAAATTGTGAGACAACCTAATCACAAGAGAACAGTTTATATTCCCATCGATCTTTTTCTTCGGAAATATGCATGCATTTATTTCTGTATGATTCAGACATTATCACCATAAAGAGAATAGCTTTTCCCTTCCAAGCATAGACACTTAGCAGAGTAAAGATGATCAGATCCAAGATAACGTAGTAAAGTTCTTTTATCAGTAATACTCTCTCCGGTTCAAAATAAGTGATTTTTTGGTTGTTTTTACGCAGATTAAGAAATTCACCTTTTAACGTTAATTAGCAATAAAATTGACCATATTAACCTTTACTATCTCTTCACATAAACAATCTTAAGTCCTGACACATACTCCAACCCTATTTACTCGAAGGGCAATGTAGAAAAAAATAATTAATTCATTCTTGAAATCTGGAAAAATCACTTATTTTGGATCACAATAAAAAAAACCAAAAAATCACTTACTTTGGACCATGGGAGTAATATTCAACCAAACACTAAAAACTAACAGCAAAAGACACTACTGCAAGCAACAGAAATACTCATATAAATGATGAAATCGAAGATCCATGTATTTCTAAGACAACCAATCTGTAGCACAAAACAAATAAATACCCCTATTATAGTTTTTCTTATCCTATTTCCTTTTTAATCTACGGAAAAGTCCTATAAATGCCATTCAACTTTCAGAAATGGCCTATCGATGTCATCCGTTAAAAATTTGCTATTTCCATGACATTGCCGTTAAAGAAATGACCTATCTATGCCATTATTTGACTAACGGATGGAATTTGTTTTTAAATTTTTTTTATAAGACTTGAATTTTCACGTGTCCTATTATTATTTGTCCGAATTAACCCCCGCCCCACTTAATTCTAACTTTAGTTAGATCCATCTACCCATACCCAAACCCAACCCGGTTAAAACAAAACAAATCCCTAACCCAAACCTAACCCTTCATACCAAATCCTCACTCTCCAGTTGTCTCTTTCATAAAAAAAAACCCATTTCTCAAAATTCCCTCTTTAGTCTTACTAGGTTTTCGAATGAAGGCAAAGCTATTGTCGAAGGTGGCTTCAAAAATGTCTGATGGGTCAAGCAGCTCAATTGACTCAAAGAGGAAGTGTCGTTGTGGATTTGTAGCGCATCATTTTACGGCGACAACTCCTATGAACTGTGGGAGACGTTTTTACAAGTGTACATTGCCTGAAGTAAGTATAATTTACATAATGCAATTCGGCATTTTTTGTGTAATATTTTATTTTTATCGGAACATAATCGAAGATTTTATTGTATAATTACTTGGCAAAAACAAGGTTGTGGGTATTGGGAATGGGACGATGTTGAAGTTCCCCCACGAGCTGTAATCGTCATTAACAATCAAAAGAGAAAATTGGAAGCTTTTGAAATTAAAAGAAATAGGTTGTTGAAGAAGATAGAAGATTTAGAAGCTTCTGCTGTTATTGATGCTGCAACGATAACAGAGTTGAGGGAAAGATTGGATGCACTTGAAGCATCTGCTATTGAGGATAACTTGAAGATTGTGGAGTTGAGAGGAAAAGTATTCCGACAGTCGATTTTCTTGATTTGGTTGTTCACTTGCCTTATTGTGTTCATGGCAGCATGGGCTACCAAATGATCCATGTAATGATCATTGCTTAGAATTTCAAAAGTTTGGTCTTTTGTTAGGTATATGTTTGTTCTATGTAATTTGGACATGTTTCCAATCTTTCCGAATCATGTAATAGTCTATATTGTGAACTTGTAATAGCTAGACTTGGTAAAGCTAATGCACAATCATTGTGCAGTTTTGAAGTTGATAGGCTTGCTGAACATTTTATGAATTAGGATTGTTTGGATGGCATGAGATAAAAAGACTTGTGAATTTGCTCTTATCCTTTTCAAACATGGAAGCAATAACTGGACATTAAAACTACACATAATTGATGCCATACAACACTACAAAAACTGGACATAAAACTGCACAGAATTGAAGCTAAACATTGCAATAACTAGACATTAAAACTACACATAATTGATGCCATACAACACTGTAAAAACTGGACATAAAACTGCACAGAATTGAAGCTGAACACTGCAATAACTGCACATAATTGAAACTAAACAATACTGCAAAAACTGGACATAAAAACTGCACATTCAGCAGTGTCAAATTGTATTCACACAGTATTTTGCTTAGCTAAACATTACAAAAAATAGTAGGTTAGCTGCCAGTGCTAATTATAAAAATAGTACTTTAAACACTCTAGTTACTAGTGCTAATTACAAAAAATAATACTTTAAACAGTCTAGCTGCTAGTGCTAATTACAAAAAATAATACTTTAAACAGTCTAGCTGCTAGTGCTAATTACAAAAACAGTAAACTAGCTTTCAATCAATCTGCTGGTTCTCCTTGGCCCTTCATTGCCTTCATTTTGTACTTCTTTTTTCTAACTTCTGCTTGAAGTTGGCTTGAAGTAATTGCTGGTTTTCCATTCCAAATAGCCTTTGTGGGTGAATAAGGTAGGTTTGTTGGTGTTGCTGCACCTGTTTCATCTCCAGTAAACTGGATCCTTCTTGTACCAGTTGCAATCATCTGTACCTTCCTCATGGCTAGTCTTGTGTTAGTTTCAGATATAACCATTGGCCTAATTTTTGGGTCTTCATCAGGTCCATAACTATTGAACTCTTGTGTTCCAGCTTGATTGTTAAATACTAACTATTGTGACTGTTGTGTTCCCACTTCAGTTTCAAAGAATGCTTCACCAAACTCTTGTATTTCATCTTATGAAGATATCAATGTGGGGGTTGTGTCCACAACTTTCCCCTTGTTTGAACCAAGTCCAGCCCCACTACCCTGCCAACCAAAGACAATAGTTAGTAAATAATCTACAAAAATTGTAATTATTTCATAAACTACAATAAATATAAAGCTTTACCTTGTAACATCCTCTTGCATTATAATTTTCATCACCACATTGTCTGCATGTCATTATAATTCCCTTCCTTGAACTACTCCACTCACCTTTTCTCTTCAAATCTTCATCAGCAACCCTATTCCTCTTTACTTTGGGTCTTCTAACCATATTGACAATTTCAGGTGGCTTCATGGCTTGACTAGGCAGAATTTTCCAGAATTGCACCCCTCTAACAGGCTAATTTTGTACTTGTATGTTAGCAAGTAAGCCTCCTTACTATACCACCAGTGTATTTGTGTCACTAGTTCAACCTTCTCATGCATCAATGCCTTAATATCATAGGGACAAGGTATTCCAGATAAATCCCACAACCTACAGGTACATCTCTTCTTCTCAAGATTCACTATATGTTTGTCTTTACCTTCTATTATTTCATAGCCATTGTCTCCATTAAAGTTCAAAGTGCAAGCATGTGATATTGCCCTATAGTCATGGTATAGTTTCATACATGGTGGACTGAAATTGTTAGTCCAGCTCATAGCTTTGCCTTAATAGTCTGCAAGCCTTTCCATTACCTTGATCCTTATGTTCTCCAACATCTTGATAATTGGCATATGTCTGGCATCTAGAATCCATGAATTGAAGGGCTCAGTAAAATTGTTATCCACCATTAGATTTTTACATTGTGTATCAAAGTAGGCTCTACACCATACTTTTGGTGGATAGTTGATCAAGTCCCTTGCAGCATCCTCTCACATCCCCCCAAGCTTCAACAACTGATCTTTAAACTCTTCTTCATAAGTACTCCAAGTACACCACCACATCAACTTCCTCATTTCTCCACTCCTCTATTTTTTTAACCAGTTGACTTCAATGTGTCTAGCACAATACCTGTGATGAGCATCAGGTAGTACAGTACTCACAGCATCTAATAACCCCTGTGATGGCAGATGAGAACAGAAGAAAAAAATAGAAACTAAACATACTTGAAATAGATGAGAACAGAACATAATTGAAACAATAGAGAACAAAAGAAAAAACAGAATAAAAAATAGCAGTTGAAAACAGAAAAAAATAGAAGTAAAAACAACAGTTGTAACAGATGAGAACAGCAGAAAAAAAATAATAAAAAATAGCAGTTGAAAACAGAAGTAAAAACAGCAGTTGAAAACAGATAAAAACAAATAAAAACAGAAGAAAAATCAGAAGCAAAATAAGAGTATGGTACCTTTTGCATGTCTGATATAAATGTCACTCCAGCCCCATTATTTAGGTCCAAAGACCTCTTCAAAAGATCAACAAACCAACTCCAGGTCCTGCTTGTTTCCTTGTCAACCACTGCCTAAGCAAGTGGATAGAACTGATTCATAGAATCCTGTCCCATTGCCACCAATAGCTGACCCTTGCATTTTCCCTTCAAAAAAGTACCATCCAAACCAATAAGTGGTCTCAGACCACTTTTGAAGCCTAGCTTCAAAGCTTGGAAACATATGTACAATCTCAAGAACCTCCTTTTTCCTTCTTCCAAAGTATCCTTTGATATGTTGATTGCAACATTACTCCCAGGATTAGATAGTCTTAGTTCTTGACCATAGGCTTTAAGCTTGTTATATTCATCATTGAAACTCCCATCTAACTTCTCAAGGATCATCACCTTATCCCTTTTAAGCTTAGATCTTGTCATATTAAGCTTAAAATCATTCTCTAATTCCCCTATCATATCCTTAATAGTATACTTGGGATTGTTTTGTAGTTTATTCTTAAAGTATTGTGCTAATGTCTTTTGCATCAGCCCTTGGATTTTTATAACAAGGATTACAATTATGTTTTGCCTTCAAGTTTTTGATACTAAACTCATTAGTCTTTTTATCCTTTGAGATAGAACATCTAAAAGGGCATCCAACATCACAAATATATCTAGCTCTAGTAGGATCTATTTTTTCAATCTTCAAGCCATATCCATTGGCAATTGCATAATAGTTCACGACTCTTCTAGCTTCCACAATATCTTTAAATGTCATGCCCTTATCCAACTCCTTAAAGTTCTCAAACCTATCACTCACTACCCTCCTCCTTTGTTTGCTAATAACCTCAAGTCCTTCAGAATCATATTCAACATCAGATGGAGCATCAACATCAAAATCATAGTCCCCAATAACATGCTCATTTTCAGATACTGCTTCAACATCTACACGGAATGTTTCAGTATGGTGCAGAATACTTTGAGTATGGACAATCGACTCTAACTCATCTACAACAAACAAGTTTATGATTTTGAAGCTATATATAGAACCTGTAACAAGAGACTGTAATGCCCTGATACCATCATCTCCATCAATTATATAGAACCTCCCGACAGCCCAGCAACTAAAAGTTGTTTCACTTCAATAAACCCTAACTCTTTTGTGAACTCTTCACGTAAATCTTTATAAGACAACAAATCTGGGTCAAACTTATTCCATATATGGACTAGCCTCTTATTATACAATACTTCTGGAGAAATTACCCATTCACCCCCATAGTTGAAATACACATCAATTGTGTCAGTCAGGCTTCAATAAAGTTCACATGCAAAAGGAAAACAAAATAGAAAATTGAAGGAATAAATCAGAATTACACATTTCGGCAATTAAAAATACAAGAATAACAAAACCCTAGAAAGACAATTTTTTGGGGGGACCGGCATAGTAAAGAACAAAAATATAAAATTAAACCCCACATGCACAACATTTGAAAGACAACTCCAAATAAAAGACAAAAACATGTAACCTCACATGCACAACAATCCCCATATGAACTGAATTTACACCCACCCTATTAAACCCCAACCACCAAATTAAATAAGTTTTTGGATCTACTAACCTTGATAATTACATTAATCTTCCAACAAAATCAATTTTTGAAGCCACCTTCGACAATAGCTTTGCTTCCGTTCGAAAACCTAGTAAGACTAAAGAGGGAATTTTGAGAAATTGGGTTTTTTTTTTTATGAAAGAGACGACTGGAGAGTGGGGATTTGGTATGAAGGGTTAGGTTTGGGTTAGGGATTTGTTTTGTTTTAACCGGGTTGTGTTTGGGTATGGGTAGATGAATCTAACTAAGGTTAGAATTAAGTGGGGCAGGGGTTAATTCGGGCAAATAATAACAGGACACGTGGAAATTCAAGTCTTATAAAAAAAATTTAAAAACAAATTCCATCTGTTAGTCAAATAATGACATAGACAGGCCATTTCTTTAACGACAATGGCATGGAAATAGCAAATTTTTAACGGATGACATCGATAGACCATTTCTGAAAGTTGAGTGACATTTTTAGGCCTTTTCCGTTTAATCTATTCAAATAAGAATTACCTTTTCCAAAATTTGAAGATAATATAACTTAAACATTCAATAAAACCTTTACTTCCATACTTTTATAGTCACACAATATTATAAGTAGCACATTAAACACCACAAAATTACACAAACATTTTGACATGTCTCGGACCACAAATTTTAGAAATTATTTTTTCTTTCTTAAATTTTATGCTTTGCCAAACATGATCACGCAAAAGGTTAAGAACCGAATCATGCAAGAAGAGATCCTACTCGAGACCATATCTCAAAGGAGAACTCAAACAAACTAAGATAGTAATGGAGGATTGGATTATAATTCGTACCAAGAATCAGAAGAGTAGTCAAAGAGCTTCCCTTTGTGAGAGAAAACAATCAAAGCCACCTCTGCATCACAAAGCACTGAGATTTCATGAGCTTTCTTCACTAAACCACCTTTCATCTTCTGAGAATGTCACTTGTCTATTTATCTTATTCTCTATACGCCTCAGTTCCACTTTCCCTCTTCCCATCTTTCTCTCTCAGCAGATGATCTCAAAATGAATCCTCTACATGAGGCTGTCATCATAAGGCAATGTGAGGCGCAGAGGAGTGATTATATAGCCAAGACATATGGGTAACAAGACCGGTGCTATTGTTCCCCTTATTTGTATTTTTCTCAATTGTTGTATTTTTATTTTCTTTTATTAATAAAAACTAGCCCTAGGCGCTTGCCTAGCGAATTGTCAAAAAAAAAATGAAAACCTTGAAATTATTGAACAAAAGGGGAGAGAGAAAAAGAAAGGGCAAAAACCCTAGGTAGGAGTTTTTTTTCACAAAAATGGACAAATACACATTTTTATAAAAGAAAAATAATGTAGAACTACTACTTTTTTATTGTTTCAAAATGGGGAGGATTATTAGGTTAAGAAAGGAGAGATTGTCTGAAAAAGAAAGTACAAGAAAAGATAAGACAAGATATATAGTCTGTTGTGTATTAAGGAACAAGGTGGTGTTTTTAAGGATTTGTTGTCGAGTAGTGAATGGCTAACACAACTATAGTCCGTTAGTGTGGTGGATACATGCACCCCTCACAGTAGTTATACAAGTTTCCGTATAATGGGAACTGTAGCTGTATGTCTTCTGATTTGTGATCTTTACTTCTTTAATTTGTCCTTTTCAGAGTAAGGCTATGTGAAAGCCTCTTGTATTTTTTCTCTTTTGTCAAGTCTATTTGTACTTTCACTTTCTTTAGCTTCTTTCTCATTAAGCTTTGACTAGTGAACTCCTTCATCTGCTTTATTTTGTTGGGATATAATATAGTAACTAAATTAATTGAATGTGTGCTTTCTAACAATTTAACCCTCTACGTAACATGATTACACACTTAAACATGCATTAGTGCAATAATTTGACCCCTTGATTTACTTGGGTCTATATTGTATTTTACGTTTATATATTGTTAAACTTGTTAAGCGTTGTCTTGTTTTTTTTTAATCATATTTAATTTTCCTATCTCTTAAAGGGAAGTGCAACATATTTACCTTGATTCGATTTTTCTTCTTGTAAGGAAATTATAAATCTTCCATATTTGGCTAGTCCCTTTTCTTGTAGGAAAAAGTTTGGAGTTTTATAAATTGAAGATCCATTCTTCTCATTCAGTAGCATCTATAATATAGCCGTATGGGATTTGAGAGTCCTGTTTAGGGGGAGAACTTTACGGGACAAGTGTTAGTGTATCACTTGTGTTTGCCTCTTCGTGAGGTTGTTCTCTCGATATTTTGTATTCTCTTTTATTATAGTGGTGTCACGACCCAAATTTCCCATCCTCGGGAGCCGTGATGGTGCCTACTCGTGAAAGCTAGGCAAGCCGCGTAATATATAATCACTAACTCTTTTATTTAGCCTTTTTAACAATTTAAATTAACAATGAAATATTAACGATAAATAATTACATGCGGAAGACTTAATCTAATAACTAGCCAAAACCAGTATGGCAATACCAACATACATTCCTACCCAGAATACGGTGCCACAATATCACGGACCAACTACGAGTACAACATACAAATGTCTGGAAAGAAAACTACAATCTGTCTCTGAAGTAAATGAAAACAGAATACATATAAAGATAGAAGAGAACGTCGGGCCGGCGGATGCCTGCAGGACTACCTCGGGATCTCTAATTGGACTGAAGGCAGCCACCCAATGCTAAGTTCCAAAAGTTGCCGCTCCGGAATTTGCACATAGTGCATAATGTAGTATCAGCACAACCGACCCCATGTTCTGGTTAGTGTCTTGCTTAACCCTGACGAAGTAGTGACGATGCTACGACCAGACTACCATGTAAACCTGTGCAGTTATATAATATGCAACGAAAAATAAAACAGGAATAGACAAGTAAAGATGGGAAGGGGTACATGCTGGGGGAAATATCAATACCAACAGTAATTTAAGAGAAAAACATAAGGACAACTTGGAATTCATAGCAAAACAATAAGGAACTCGTCACCAATCTATGAGCACTTCGTATTATCTATTGTTACGGCGCGCAACCCGTTCCAATAAAAATAGTAACACTGTTGCGGCGTGCAACCCGATCCATATAATTTATCACTGTTGCGGCGTGCAACCCGATCCAAATATAATATTAACATTGTTGCGGCATGCAACCCGATCCATATCATTTATCACTGTTGTGTCGTGCAACCCGATCCATTTATATAATTGTTGCAGCGTGCAACCCGATCCAAATATAATATTGTTGCGGCGTGCAACCCGATCCACATATACAATTCAATACCAATCACAACGAAAGTCCCGACAAGGGATCAATAAAGAAACAACACTATCCCGGCAAGGAAATCGACAGTATAAGTAAGTACGTCCCGGCAAGGGAACTTCAGCTAAAACCAAACTTGTTCCAACATCTAACTACCTCAACTAGCACCGATACTCAATCGTAATTAATTTCCACGAGAATAATCATAATCCTTGCTCAACACAGAGAATCAACAACTTAGACATTCGTAGTATTTATTAAGAGCACAACAAATTTCAATTTAACCCTACAAAAAAATGCTAAATTTGCGTAGGTTTTATTGTGGCGGTTACTATAACCTCCGCAATCTATATCAAATTGTGGGGGTTTATTTACCTCCGCAAATATAATATATTTACGGCAGTCGGTAACCTCCGCAACACAAAAGAAATAGCACCCACTAACCCCAATGTTTCCCTCGTTTTTTTAATTCTTTCCCTCTTTTTTTTTTCCCAAACCCCTTTCTCATTTTCAGCTACAAACTAAAAAAGACCCCTCTATCATTTTCAGAAACGTTCCTTTAACCAAATCCATAACAGACCTAGCAGACAAGGGATGAAAATGAGCAGCATACAAATTCCTCAAAAATTCCTTTAATTGGATTAAGTTTATGTGATTTTGCTCCTCGATTAGCAAACAAATTCCTCAAAAATTCCTCTTCGATTTTGCTTTCATAACAACCCACTTTCATACAAATTCCTCTTTAATTTTGCTCTGATTTTGCTCTTTCATTCTTTGATTTTGCTTTTTTGTCTTTCTTTCATCATGCATGTGGGTTTTAAGTTTATTTTCTCAGTTAATTTCTATTTTTCCTTTACTGATTTTTTCTCTTTCTTTCATCTTGATGTTTTTCAATTCTCAACAGAAAGTAGCAGAAATTTAGTAGAATCAATGCATTTTGAATAAGGATATAACACTCTTTGTTGAAATCGAGATGTAAGTCCTCTTTCTCCTTTTGCATTAGGTATTATAGGTACTAGAATTTAGATTTTTTGTGTATTTTGTAGGTTCCTTTCTGTGATTTGGGTCTTAACTGAAATATTTTTCTTTTGCATGTGCATTTTAGAACTCCTGCGGACCTTCAGAGAAGATACAATTGTCACTGGTTGCTTTTCCTCTCAAGGTAAATTTTTTTTGTTTTTCTGTTTAATAATATTGGAGTCACAAAAATATATCTTACCTATTTGAAGTGCAGTATTTGAACATTACCTATTTGAATATTACATATATGAACTTTAGTTATTTTTCTGTACAAAAACTACAGTACTACTTTCCAACCGGCAGAAAATGGACATTACCTATTTGAAGTGCAGTAAGTACTGCATTTGAGCCTGTGTTTATTTCAAGTGGTTGTAGTTTCTTTTGAATTGCTATCTTAGTCGCATCTGTAGAGCTGTTTGTTATGCAAATATGCTAATTTTGACAGGAAATATCATATAGTAGCCTAAACTCTAGTCACCTTAGTGATTTTTGGGGCACCTCTTATTCCTCCTATCGCAGGTTACTGACTCCCCAATGAGGAGCCTTTTGTAATTAATTTGTTGTTTATCTTTGATATTTTAGTTTGTATATTTCCCTCTTTTCCTTTACTATATTATTTTGTTGTTCTTAAGGTGGTGCTGAGGCTCTTTTCATATATGTAAATACTTTTGTATAGGCACAAAACAAGTAGGAACATATCATTACCTCTACAAGGAAAATGGCTTCAGCTATCCAAATAAAAATTTCAGTATAGGCACAGAACAAGTGGGAACATATCATAACTGGCTACACTTCTATATAGTGGTTTAAGATCAGTAGAATCATAGCTATATGAGTATGAAAACGGGTCAACAACATATAAGTGACTCATCGAGGAGTCCTAGCAATTAAGAAATTAAGAGAAATCTGCTGCATTTCTCCTATAATAGAAGTGTGGAAATGTGGAAATGTTTAGAAGAAAAGCAAAGTAAAGGACCGAAGTAACATAGAGATTGGTAATAACAATCAATATGTGTATGTGTATGTATTTGGTTCTATCTTGTAATTTGGACTTCTTGTATCAATTCACATCAACTGCTAATTTGCATTTATTTATACATATAGCAGTCCAAGCTACATTATCTTACAAAATATTATAATGTTATTGCGTTGATAGGTTACTAAATCATCCTTTCTCATGGAAATATTGTAGGTTATAGTAAACACTCTTGCTCAGAGAAATCCTTATTGGTGGATCACTTCTGAAAGGTTATATATCAATACTCTCCAATGGATAAATCTTGGATTGGAATGCCTAGAAATACAACAAAATATTTACTTGGTTTGAATCAATTTCTAAATTTTGCATTTAAGAATGCTTGTATAGGAGATAGAATAAAATATTCGTGTCCTAAATGTAGTTTTGGGAAGTGGCAGACCAGAGAGATAGTGTACGATCATTTGATTAGCAAGCCATTCCCTCAAAATTATATTACTTGGATTCTTCATGGGAAAGCAGAAGTGTTGGAGAACTCTACAAGCACAGAGGTTATCATAGATGCACTGGCTCCTGAAAATCCTATGGAATTATTGATAAATGAAGCATTCCCGGGTTTAAGGCATGAGGGCATTGATTCAGGTCCGTCACAAGTAGTAGGAGAAGAAGAAATGTTAAATGATCTATCTTTTTCAAATAACAAAGAATTTTTTGAGTTGCTTAGAGATGGAAGTGAAGAATTATATGAAGGGTCCAAGTACTCGAAGCTAGAATTTTTGTTAAAGTTGTATCACATAAAGTGTTTGTCTGGGCTAAGTGACAAAGGAATGACTATGATGCTAGATTTACTTAAGGATGCATTTGGATTTGCAAAGATACCTAATACTTTTTATGAGGCCAAGAATACCATAAAAAAGCTTTGTCTTGATTATATCAAGATAGATGCTTGTCCAAACGATTGCATGTTGTACTGGGGAGATGATACTAATGGGGAAACATGCAAGAATTGTCATACTTCTAGATGGAAGCCAACTAAGAAGAGCAATGATAATCACATGTCTACTAAAGGAAAGAAGAAAAAGAAGCAAAAGATGCCCGCAAAAAGTTTGTGTTACTTTCCACTGAAACCAAGGTTGCAGAGATCGTTCATGTGCTCTAAAATTGCAGAGCATATGAGATGACATGTGAAAGATAGTAACAGAGATGGAATTATGAGGCATCCCATATATGGTGAGGCATGGAAGAGATTTTATATTACTTTTCCTGAATTTGCTTCTGATCCTAGAAATGTTCGATTAGGCCTAGCTAGTGATGGTTTCAATCCTTTTGGGATGATGAGTACTAATTATAGCATTTGGCCAGTGATTTTAGTTCCATATAACCTTCCACCTTGGTTGTGTATGAAGCAACCAAATTTTATCCTCTCAATGATCATTCTAGGTCCACGTACGGTGGGGAATAATATAGATGTATACCTACAACCGCTTATTAAAGAGTTGAATGAGTTGTGGTGTGAAGGTGTGGAAATTTTTGATTCATCAAAGAATGAAATATTTATAATGCGAGCAGCTCTTATATGGACAGTTAGTGACTTTCTTGGACTTGAAATTTTATCTGGTTGGAACACACATACCGGTTTTGCATGTCGATCTTGTAATTTTGACACAGAACCTTGCCGACTTCGTCATAGTAGAAAGTGGTGCTTTATTGGTCATCGCCGGTTTTTGTCAAGAAACCATAAATTTAGATTGATGAGGCTTCATTTTTTTGGCAATATGGAAGAGAGAAACCCTCCAAGGAAGTTAACTAGGTCAGATATTTTGAATCAAGTGGAAGAAATTAATGTTACATTTGGAAAACCAGCGGAATTGAATGAAAGAAGGAAAAGAAATCAACAAAAAGGTACCGAGGAAAGTGCAACTCAACAATTGAGAAAAAAAGCATATTCTTCAATCTTCCATATTGGGAATTCAACTTGTTGCGCCATAATTTAGACGTTATGCACATTGAGAAGTATGTGTTTGGTAATATTATATACACTTTGCTACATGATAAAGACAAATCAAAGGATCATGTTAAGGCTCGAAAAGATCTACAAGATATGGGTATATGGCGTGATCTTTGGCTAGTTGAGAATGAGAATTGCCGGCTTGCTTCATTTGCAATTCCAACAAATAAAAGAGTTGACTTTCTCAAAACTTTTAAAAAAATCTCGGTGCCGGATGGTTATTCAAGTAATATCTCTCGTTGTGTTGATCTAGATAAAAAGAGGATATTTGGACTAAAAATCCATGATTGTCATATCATTATGGAACAATTGTTGCCCATAGCAATTCGAAATGTGCTTCCAAATCATGTTGTTGCAGTCTTGATAGAGCTTTCATCCTTTTTAGACAATTTTGTTCGAAAAGCTTGAGCCTCTCGGACCTAGAAAAGCTTCAAGATCGGATTGTACTCACACTTTGCCATTTAGAGATGTTGTTCCCTACATCCTTTTTTACTGTAATGATTCATTTAACTGTCCATCTAGTGGATGAAGTAATACAAGGTAGACCGGTACATTAGCGGTGGATGTATTTTGTTGAAAGGTAAACATTACTTACTCAACATAATTTCAATCAATCTTATAATTCAAAGTAAATACTTATTCTAATACCTTTTTATTTTGGTTATAGATTGTTAGGTCATTTCAAGTCCCTTATAGGGAATAAAGCACAACAAGAAGGTTCCATAGCTGAGGGTTACATTGTTGAAGAAGCCCTAACTCTTTTTTCTCGTTATTTTGAGGATATTGAGTCGAGGGTAAATAGGCCTAAACGTGTAAACAATGGACCAAATCTTAATGAGGCTTCTGAAATGTCATTTATATTCCCTACACAAGGTAAACCTGTCGGAGGTTCTGAAACATTCACCATGACTCAACTTGAGAAGACTCAAGCTCATCGATATGTGTTACTTAATTGTGCAGCAGTAAAGCCGTTTATTAGGTATGAAAAATAAATTAATTTAATTATTTACAAAAACTTTGAGTGAAGTGATTAAAATTGATACAATTAACTCCTTTGTAGTGAATTTAGGGATTACATAAGAAGGAATTCAAGAGGCCGGAGACCTTCGGCAATCGAAGTAGAAAGGAGAGTTAATAAAGAGTTTCCTGATTGGTTTCCAAAGCGAGTGAGTGAAAATGCTTATCTATGCTTAATTAACTTTCTTGTTTTAATTTTGAATATTTGACAAAAATAAATTTATCTATTTAGATTATGAATCCGGATTTAGCAAACACAATCTCGACTGATTTGGAGTTTCTAGCACAAGGTCCATGTCCAGATTCGGGAAGGTTCACTGCTTATAATATTAATGAATTCAAATTTCGGACATTGTCTAGAGAACAAGGATCTCAAACTCAAAATAGTGGAGTTTTTCTTATGTCTGACACCTCTTGTATTGCATCCAACACTGACAGAAGTGCGAGGTAAGCAGACTTGCCATATTATGGGAAGTTGGAAGATATTATTGAGCTTAATTATTATGGTCAGTTTAAGGCTGTGCTCTTCAAATGCCAGTAGGCTGACACTACTCGATATAGAGGGTTCAAAAGAGATGCTTGGAATTTTAACTGTGTTAACTTTTCTAGATTGATTCACACTGGTGATCGTGAGGAGCATGATCCTTATATTGAAGCATCTCAAGCAAATATGGTGTACTATGTTAATGATGAAACTGATGAAGGGTGAGTGTGGCGGTACATTTAAAGCCAAGAGATTTATTTGATATGGGATAGGTGGTTGAAGGAGAAATATACGAGAATGAGCCATTCCAACTTCAAGAATTTGAACAATTTTTTGATGTTAATTATGAAAATGTTCAACTTGCAATAGATGAGCATATGTTTGAATAGGAATTAGTCCCGTCCTTAGGTTTTCCTCCAGTTCTTCATGGTGAGTATTTTTCATCCCTCTGAGAGTCAAAGAAATATTTAATTTTATATCATTATAAAATTTGCATCAGATTTTGTTCTACCCCGCATTGAAGATATATAAGAATTCATCTAATTTTTTTGATTATTTGAACATCTTTCTTATAATACATATGTGGATTGTTTCTTCTTAAATCATTCGACTTTTCTTCTACTAATTTTGTGAACTCCTGCTTTTCTTTTATTGCTTGCAGGTATGCCGAAGCCCAAGCGTTACGAGAACTTCCAGAACTCAATTCAGTCAGCATATGCATCACAAGGTGTAACACAACCTTTATCAACTGAATCAACACCTTCGCATTTTGATGATACACCACAAGTTCAACCAATAACACGACCAACACCTTCAAGTCATGTTGCAACAAATCCAATTCTGTCAGATCAGACAACAACACAGCAGGTTCCATCAGTCCGGGCCGCGTCACAACAACCACCATCTAGAAAGCGTAGTGGACGTGTGTCTTCGCAATATTGGACTGTAGATGCAATATATATGTTATTGCCATTAAAGCCACCACTTTAAATCTCTCTGCCACCACAAATTCTCTTTCTTCGTGACTTCTTCCACCTACTAAGAATCCTCTCTCTATTTCCTCTATTGTACACTTTACAGAAAAATCTCTCTGTTTATTCTCCAAAAATATTTTTTTTGTCACCTTAGTCTTCAAGGGTTGAATTTGTCTGCTTTAGATATGGATTAATCATCTGAAGAGTTTTCTGTTTGACTTTAGGTTCTGACAAAGTGAAACCACAAAATGATATTTGACAATTAATTAAATCTCCTCTTATTTGCTACCTTCTCCTTATTTAATATACTTGGTAGAGAAGTCTACTTTAACATATTAAGAAAATATCTTAGATGAAAAATTAGAAGTACACGTGCAGATATAAATAATCCAGGAGGTGACAAACATTACATATAGCTCTGAAGTTGCTAGAATTTGATCAATTCATAGATGTTCTCATCATCCAGTGTGAAATCTTGATTGAGTTATTTTAATATTTTTGCAATATTTTTGCTTCTTTCATGATATAAGGTAAGTAAGAGTGAAGAGCAAGGTCCATGTATTTCTTGTGAAAAGTGATCTTAAAACACTTCCCCTCAGATCTTAGAATGGAATTCAACAGCTTCATAAATTTCGTTGTTGACTTGGCCATCAAAGAATAGAGAACCAGATTGATTTTTGTTTTTATCTTTTAAGATTCACAAGGATCCAACAAGATACTTAAAGTGAAGAAAAGGTACATGTTAAATTTATCTAATGGAGAACCTATTGTGGTTAATTTTGACGACATGAATTCTCCCATCAGTGAAGGACAAGGCGTTCTTGCAGTTTTTTTTGGAATTTTAGCAACTGACTGCTCCATTTTTCCAATTCACTTTGAGAAATGGCTGGATTTACCTGTGACAACCTTCAACCGTTGTTATGATCGATTTATAAAGGTATTATGAGGCATACAATATCTCTATTTTATGTCACTAGATTTTATATTTGCATATAATAATTATCTAACCATTGGTTTATTCTTGAAGCCACGATTTTGTTTTCGAACAACTGAGTCAAATGCAAGACGATTTTTTTATAATTCTATGTGTAAGAAGTGGGGCGCAAGAAGGCTAAAGTTGTTTGATAAGGTCTATGATCCACTTAAGAGCAGAGCTGAGATAATGGATAGCGTTCCACTGGGAATTCCACCGGATCAATGGATTTCTTATGTTGATTACCGCTTTAAAGAAAAGACACATGTATTTATTTCAAGAGGTTGAACCTTCGGAGGTTCCATAAGAGATTGCTTCGTGCCTATTATTATTCTTTACTTGATCACCAATTCTGCTTTACTTTTTCAAAGTTTATAACTTTTCTCCTAATCTGTTATGTATAAGATCTAAACAACTATTATGTATAAGATCTAAACAAATAAAGAAATGAAATTAAAGTTTGTTTGTGCCTTTGTTCTTTTGTTAAACAGATATTATGGTTTTACAAATATACAACAGGCAATTATGTGTAATTTGTGGTATCTTTTTGTAAGGAAATTTGTAAAAGAAATGCTGAAATCCGGAAGAAACAAATTGTTTCACATATCGGTGGCTCCAAATATAACTCCAGAAGAAGGGCTGAAATGGTGTTGATTCATTTTGAATACTTTAATTGAACTAAAAACTATTTTAGTTAGTTAAGTTAATGCGACTTTAACTTTTCATTTATAGATGGTTGAGACTGGACTAAAGTCTGGACGAGGACAGCTTTATCTCGCTACACATAGGAATAAAGATAGATCATATGTTAATGAGGCGGCAAAAGAGATATGTGTAAGTTTTTAATTTCTTCCATCAAATTTGCAATTATTTAGTACCTAGTAAGTTATTGGTTCTAAATCTGTTAAGATATGATAGTAAAGGAGAGTTCTTTACACTATTTCCTTTGCCAAGAAATCATAGTGGAAAAAAATCAAGAAAAGGTGTCTATTCTCAAATTTTATGGGAATCAGAAGGAATAATATAATTATGTGATCCAGTTAAAAGTGGATTTTTGATATGGAGTTTTAGAGGAAAGAGCAATAATTTTGATTTATGGAGGCTTAATCATTTTATAAGATTAAATATATTTACTTCTGTTGATTTGCTTGCCTTTAACAAATTGAGGCCAATTGATTATTAGGAGGTAGTAACAGTTTATAGCAATTTTCTTATCTTTACATTCATATACATTGAGGCAAAACTAAATGCATAACCTTCTATATGAGGCAAATTGATCTTGTTCAGAAGCTGGATATCCTTCTACTCTTATTTTTCTTTTTTTAATAACTTATCAATCACTGATTGAAGTTAGGACACTGACTTTTGGTGTGTAATGTATTTAGGAAAAAATTGAACCAGTATTGAGTCAAAGCACCGTGGATGAGTCTGAAATTTCGCCAAATGATACCATTGGTAAGGTGCTAGGAAAAGAGCACTTTGGAAGGGTAAGGTGCTTGGGATTAGGAGCTGTTCCTGGTAGAGCTTTTAGACAAACAAGACCTCATTATAGTGATTTGAATGCTTCAAGTTATAATAACGGTTCATGTTTTTCCCAATGCCAAAAGAAGTACAATCAAATGTTGAATGCTCACAATCAAAGCCAAGAAAACTATAGAGAAATAATGAATATTAACACCCAAATGATGAATGCTAACACCCAAATGATGAATGCTTTTAAGGCGCATATGATAATGAAAGAAGGGAGGATACCTGAAGAATTTGCAGGGATCTTTGTTTCTCCTCCTCATTCAACGGTAAGAAAAGTTCATAACTTTCTTATTTAATTTTGAAAACTTTTGTGCTATATGTGGTGTTTGACTCTTTTTCTCACTTTCTTCACTCCGATATCTGCACATGCATTCTCATCAAATGTGCATTTTTTATCTTTCATGTTGTTCTAGCTACAACAAATTAGCACTCACAATGTTGCCTTCTGTTTTCACTGCTGGTTTACTTCCGTTTGTTGATCATCCCTCACTTATCCCTTTAGATTTGCTTCTTATTTTTTATCCTAAAGAAAAAGGCTTTAAGTTGATGGATCTACAATTATCATATGGTGTTTCATTTCAAGAAATTAATGGCAACCCTTTTCTCTACAGTCATCAATACTTTAGGTTTCTTGATCAATCTTTTCATAGTAGTGATGTTGATGTGGTATATAAACAAGAACCATTATCTTCAGTTGCTGCATCTCCTGAGACTAATATTATTATTAATGACAGTAGTAATAGTAACAATAATGTTACAACTGCTCAAGGTTTGTCTTTGTCTTTGTCATCATCTCATCATCATAATCATTACAACAACCAAAGTAGTAGTAGTAATAATCTTTTACCTCATTTGGATAACACCCTCGAGATGGATCATAGTGATCTTTGGGAGAATAGCCTGGCAAGCAACTGCAATTGATTACCTTGTTATCAGGTGATTGGCAAAAGCCATATACACCACAAATGTTACTCACAACACAAGGCTGTGTGATAGCTTACCATGCAACATCCCAACCGTTCCCATTTTCTTTGCTACAGTAAAGCTATTAGAAACCTCCCTTGTCAGTGACCATCTCCAGGTGGTAATAATCTTGAACTGGAGAAGGCTGGTCTACTGTCATGTTAGATATGATTGAGCTTCCATTCACAATAAACATAGTAGCAGTAGTCTTATTGAAAACTAGCTTTACATTATTGTGGTTTATAGTCGGAGAATTCCAGTAGCCCAAATCATTACAACAACCAAGGTTCGTTAATTATATTTTATTTTGATTTTTTAGCCAGGTGATGCGGCTAGCGGATCCATTTCACCCATGGATGCAAGAAGATCATATAGTGGAAGTAATCCTAACGACAACCATTGAAGTTTCTTGCAAATGTATCTTACTCGATTGAATGGCCATAGGAGATCTTTTGTCCTTAATTAATAGTTGGAGTAGATGTTCTGTTTAAAGTTAGTTTTAAGACTAACTATAATACTGATGTTTTGTGTTTAGTGGATGGAGTAGTTGTGTTTAAAGCAAGTTTTTGAGACTAATGATAATTTACTTTAATGTATTTACGGTTTATTAATATATTGATGTTACTTGATTCTATATAATCTGATGATGTTTCATTATATTAACATAGTTAAAATTGGATCAGTTATGGGTATAACAATTGCCAAAAAAATAATATTCAATGAATAGCGGAGGTTAAAACTGCCGCAATTTAATGTATAATAATATTGTGTTTAAACTTGCGGAGTTAAATGAAAATATTGTAGGGGTTTTGACTGCCTCTATATTTTTAAACGTGTGGTCTTAAAAAGTCAAACTAACAAATTGCGGAGGTTAGACCGCCGCTAAATATCCGCCGCTATATGATAACGACGGTCTCCCATAAAACCCCCACAAATTGATTGCGGCGAACATTTTTGTGGGGGTTTTGGAAACCGCCGTAAAAGCAAATTGCAGAGGTTTCTGACCCCCGCAATATGTAAATAAAACCTCCGCAAATTTAGCGTTTTTGTAGTGTAAGACTTACAGTCATGTTTGACACCAACGTATAGATACTTATCACCATGCCTATATGTCGTACTCAACAAGTAACATATAGCAAATAGGATACAACTCCTAATTCCTCAAGCTAAGATTAGACTAAACATTTACCTCGATGCCATGAACACAATTCAAGTCTCTACTATCGCTTTACCTCTTGATTCCACCACCAATTCACTCGTATCTAGCCACAAGTTACTTAATTACATCAATAAACGCTAAATGAATCAATTCTAATGCATGAAAATAAGTTTTCTAAAGTTTTACCCAAAAAGTCAAAAATTGCCCCCGACCCACATGGTCAAAACCCGAGGTTTGAACCAAAACCTGATTACCCATTCCCCCCACGAACTCAAATATATAACTTGTTTTGAAATCGGACCTCAAATAGAGGTCCAAATCCCCAATTTTTGAAAAACCTAAGTTCTACCCAAAACACCCAATTTCCCCCATGAAAATCATTGATTTTGAGTTGAAATCATGTGAAAAGATGTTAAAGATTGAAGAAAACTAGTTAGAAATTACTTACAATTGATTTGGAGAAAAAATTGCCTTTGAAAAATCGCCCTAGAGTGTTTTGGTTTTGAAAAGATGTGAAAAATGA